GAGTTGAAACTTTTAAAAGCATCCTTAAAAACTCAAGAACATCTATTGGACATGCAAGTTGCTACAGTTTGCATCATAGTATATAAAAGATTTGCATGATTGAGTAGAGCCAAGATGGAGGAGTAAAATCAGTGACTTGCTTGAGCTTTCCCCCAAACCCCTCCAAATACCTGTAAAAAAATGACTCTAAACAAATTCTAGAGCAGCAGAACCCACAAAAAGACAGAGTGAAACATATTTCCAGCCCAAGAAAACCTGGATAATTGATAGGAAAGGTCTAATGTGCCAGGTTGGGAGAGGAGCTCAGTTCAGCATGGGCCACGCGAGTAAAGACGGGGCCAGAGGAAACCTGGAACAGGCCTCAGGGGACGGAATTACAGGAAGCTGTGGCAGTTTCCAGACTTCTCAACACACAAATGACAAAGACAACTTAGAAGATCAGTGGGGAAGGTCTGTCGGACCTGGGTGAGAGAGGAGTGTGGTCCAGCCTTGCTCCTAGCACAACCTCCAGGCAGCAGCCGTAGCAACAGTGGTTACCTCCGGAGCTCTCGGGCCACAGATGGTGGGGGGATCAAGCTGCTGATCAGAGGGGGATTGCAGGGATCTCTTTGCTGGTGCTAAAGCAGGATTCTCTTGCTTTGCCTGTGCTTGGATCTAGGTCACAGTTCTGGGTGGTGATCCTGGGGTGAGAAGGAGTGCTGGTGTGGTGGAGCTTCTAGATGGAGAGCAAATCCTCCTCACAGTTCCAAGGCTGAAAAGAGTGCTTGTGGTCACTCATAGACCAGAGCCCAGGCCAGGAAAGGAGTAAACACCTCACCCCTTATCACACCACCTTGGAAGAACTGAAAATTCACAGGTCCCTAGAAGTATCTCTGAAAACTGCTGCATAAAACCCCTGAAGCTTGGGACAGTACATTCTCCATACTGAAAGCAGACCCCTACTTTAACAAAGAGTTTAAAACTCAAGTAATTGGCTGGGATCATGAATAAACAAAGTCAGACTATAGAATCTTTCTTTGGTAACAAAGAAGATCAAAACATACAACCAGAAGAAGACAACAAAGTCAAAGCTCCTACATCCAAAGCCTCCAAGAAAAATAAGAATCAGCCCCAGGCCATGGAAGAGCTCAAAAAGGAGTTTGAGAAACAAGAGAAGTAGAGGAAAAACTGGGAAGAGAAATGAGAGTGATGCAAGAAAATCATGAAAAACGAGTCAACAGTTTGCTAAAGGAGATCAAAATAATACTGAAGAAAATAATACCTTAAAAAATAGCCTAACCCAAATGGCAAAGAGGTCCAAAAAGCCAATGAGGAGAAGAAGGCCTTAAAAAGCAGAAATGGCCAAGTGGAAAAGGAGGTCCAAAAGCTCACTGAAGAAAAAATTCCTTAAAAATTAGGATGGAGCAAATGGAAGCTAATGACTTTATGAGAAATCAAGAAATTATAAAACAAAACCAAAAGAATGAAAAAAATAGAAGACAATATGAAATATCTCATTGGAAAAACAACTGACCTGGAAAATAAATCTAAGAGAGAGAATTTAAAAATTATTGGACTACCTGAAAACGATGTTCAAAAAAAGAGCCTAGACATCATCTTTGAAGAAATTGTCAAGGAAAACTGCCTTGATGTAAAATAGAAATTGAAAGAATCCGCTGATCACTTCCTGAAAGAGATCCCCAAAGGAAAACTCCTAGGAATATTATAGCCAAATTCCAGAGTTCCCAGGTCAAGGAAAAAATATTGCAAGCAGCCAGAAAGAAACAATTCAAGTATTGTGGAAACATAATCAGGATAACACAAGATTTAGCAGCTTCTACATAAAGTGATTGGAGGGCTTGGAATATGATATTCCAGAGGTCAAAGGAGCTAGGATAAAAACCAAGAATCACCTACCCAGCAAAAGTGAGTATAATCCTTCAGGGGAAAAGATAGACATTCAATGAAATAGAAATAGAGAACTTTCAAGCATTCTTGATGAAAAGATCAGAGCTGAATAGAAAATTTGACTTTCACATACAAGACTCAAGAGAACCAAGAAAAGGTAAACAGAAAAGAGAAATCATAAGGGACTTATTATAGTTGAATTGTTTACATTCCTACATGGAAAGATGATATTTGTAACTCATGCAACCTCTCTCAGTACTAGAGTAGTTGGAAGGAATATACATACATACATACACACACACACACGCATATATATATATGAACAGAGGGCACAGGATGAGTTGAAGATGGAGGGATGATATCTAAAAAATAAAATTAAGGGGTGAGAGAGGATTATACTGGGAGAAGGAGAAAGGGAGAAGGAGAATGGGGTAAATTATTTCACATAAAAGAGGGAAGGAAAAGCTTTTACAGTGGAGGGGAAGAGGGGGGAGGTGAGAGGGAATGAGTAAACCTTACTCTCATCATATTTGGCTTAAGGAGGGAATAACATACACACTTAATTGGCTATGGAAATATATCTTACCCTACAGGAAAATAGGGGGTAGGGGGTTAAGAGAGATGGGGATGATAGAAGGGAGGGCAGATTGGGTGAGGAGGTAATCAGAAGCAAAAACTCTTGAGGAGGGATAGGGTCAAAGGAGAGAATAAAATAAACAGGTTGGGGAGATAGGATGGAGGGAAATATAGATAGTTTTTCATAACATGACTATTATGGAAATGTTTTGCATAATTACACTTATATAACCTATATTGAATTGCTTTTCTTGTCAATGAGGGTGGGTGGGGAGGGAGGAAGGGCAAGAATTTGGAGCCCTAAGTTTTGAAAACAAATGTTAAAAATTGTTTTTACATGGAACTGGGAAATAAGATATATAAGCAATGGGCTATAGAAATCTATCCTGCCCTACAGGAAAATAGAAGGGGAAGGGGATATATCGAGAAAAGGAGGGGTTGATAGAAGGGAGGACAGATTAGGGGAAGGGGTATTTAGAATGCACACCATCTTGGGGTGGGGGAGGGGAGAGATAGGGAGAAAATTTGGAACTCAAAATCTTGTGGAATGAATGTTGAAAACTAAAACTAAATTAATTAATAAAAATTTTGCATGTTAAAATATTTTCTTATGCAATTCATCAATTCTTATAGCACAATAGTATTCTATCATAATCATGCACCACAACTTGTTTATTCATTCCCCAATTGGTGGGTATCCATTCAACTTCCAATTCTTTACCACTACAAAAAGCTATAAATATTTTTGTACAAATAGGTCCTTTTCCTCCATTTAAAAAATCTCTTTGGGATACAGACCTAGTAATAGTATTGTTGAATCAATGGGTATGCACAGTTTGATTGTCCTTTGGACCTAGTTCCAAGTTGCTCTACAGAATGGTTGGATCAGTTCACAACTGTACTAACAGTGCATTAGTGTCCCAATTTTCCCACATCCACTCCAACATTTATCATTTTTCTTTTCTATCAGATTAGCCAATCTAATAGGTGTGAAGTGGTATCTCAGAGTTGTTTTAATTCACATTTCTCTAGCCAATAGTGATTTAGAGCATTTTTTCATATGACTATAGATGACTTTTATTTCTTCATCTGAAAATTGCCTGTTCCTATCCTTTGACCATTTATCAATTGGGTGATCACCTGCATTCTTATAAATTTGACTCAGTTCTTTATATATTTGAGAAATGAGGCCTTTATCGGACACACTGACTGTAAAAATTGTTTCCCAGATTTCATTTAATTGTTTTCAACTCTTCGTGATCCTATTTGGGGTTTTCTTGGCAAAGTGGTTTGCCGTTTCCTTCTCATTTTACAGAGGAGGAAACTGAAGCAAACACAGTGAAGTGACTTGCCCAGAGTCCCACAACTAGTAAATGTCTAAGGCCAGATTTGAACTTAGGATGATGAGTCTTCCTTATTCCAGGCCTAGTACTCTATCCACTGTGCCACCTAACTGCCCCAAGTGATTCCTCTACTAAATAAATTCTAGTAGTTTTTTGTTACTTCTACGGTCAAATACTAATACCTCTGTTGACCACTTAAAGCCCTTTATAATCCAGCTCTATCTTTCCTCTTCATATACTCTACAATCCATTCAACTTGACATCTTGCTTTCCTTCCTATGTGACACTTCATCTCTCATCTAGGTACTCCAATCCTGGGTAGCTGGGTGGTTCAGGAGATAGAATGGCAGCCCTGGAGTCAGGAAGACCTGAGTTCAAATGTGGCCTCAGACACTTACTAGCAGTATGTGACTGGGCAAGTCATTTAATCTCTCCCTCAGTTTCCTCAACTGAAAATGGGGATAATAACAGTACCTACTTCACAGGATTTTTGTGAGAATAAAATGAGATAATATTTGTAAGATCATAGTGCCTGGCACATAATAGGTACTTAATACATGTCATCTTCCTTCCTTCTTTCCTTCCTTCCTTCCTTCCTTCCTTCCTTCCTTCCTTCCTTCCTTCCTTCCTTCCTTCCTTCCACTTTCTCCCTTTCTCCTAGAATTTCTAATTTCCTTCAAAGTCCAGCTCAAGTGGTACCCCATACATTTGGTTTTCCCCTATTTCACCCAGCTGGTAGCACTCCCCCCTCAAAATTACATTTTATTTGTTTTATACATACTTTGTTTATATTTGAATACATGTGTGTTTGTATTAGGGAGGGGGGTTCCCTATAGGATGTATGTTCTTTGAGGGCAGGGACTTTTTCATTTTTGTCTTCTTATCTCTAGTGCCTGGCACATAGTAAACACTTAATCCATGTTTATTGACCAAAATGATTTTAGCAGGTTAGTTAGAGTGATGATATTGAAAGTGGGGTATTGAATGAGAAGGATATTGTTGTAAATCCTAGTAAATGATCAGACTCTGCACCAAGTCAGTGATTTTAGAGATAGATGGAAGCCCATGGAAAGAACTGCAATTTGGCAATTAATTGGATGTTTAAAGTAAAAATTAGAGAAATTTATCTCTGTTTAGTAATATTTCAGTGTTGTCTTTCTTTTTAATCCTCTCCCCCCTCCCTCCCACCCCCAGGTTGGAAGTTCTACCAATACAATGGATGCCCTTAAAACTGCTTTTGCTGATAAAGAAACAAAAGTAATCTATATTCTGACAGATGGGAGGCCTGATCAGGTATTATTTTATCCACAGGGAGAACAGGGAAGAAACAGCAGGAAATATTTGAAATGGCACTTTGTGGATGAGCTAAGCCCACTAGCTAAAAAACTATTGAGAGAGTTCCCACACTTTCTTTTTTGGTTGGAAGCCAGCTTTTCCATCTAAAGACACTGGGAATAAAATGGATGCAAGAAGAATTACTGACTCTTTAAAGTTATACACAACTATAAATACAAATAATGCTCCAAGAAAAAGAGAAGATGCCTTGCTTGTGAAATTACGTGTTGTAGCCCATGGAACAAGATATTGGAATTTGATTTCTGGCTGGAAAAGATCTGATGAAAATACAGTAAGGGAAAGAGCCAGTCAGGGGCATACTTATGTATATGTTTAGAACTGGTGCTAATAGTATCTTTTAGGACCTTATCATTTTCTTCCCTCTTTCCCCCACTCACATCTCTATCCTATCATTGGTTAGGATGTCATTACTGAAGGTTGCTACTGAAGGTTAGATTGAATGGAACTGAACAGCTTCTTTCTCTAAAAACCATTTAATAGAATAATACAGGTAGCCACTCACTCATGAGTTTCCAACCAGTGACCATGCCTGTTCTGGTTGGGTTCCCTTCTCACCTCATGAATTCCCTGCCCCTCCAAGTCATGGGAGATGTGTTACTGAAATCAAAAGTTGAAGCATAGAATGTATTTTCATATGAAATAATGTAGTATAGAGGTTAGTTTTTGAAGTCAGCCCACAAAAATCCTTTCCGAAGTAGAAAAGAGATAAGTTCAAGGATTGTGTTAGATTGACTCCATCTTCTTAGTAAATTAGATTAGGTCATTTGTTGGAAGTAAGGAAGGCAGATTTGGGATTTATGGATGAAAAATGTTTGGAAAACCTGCTGCCAAAAATGTAATAGATGCCAAATCATTCTGCTTCTGCCTCCACATCGGTCTCATCTAACCCCTCCTTTCCATTCACACAGCCAGCACCTAAGTTCATGCCTTCATCCCTCTCACCCACATTATTGCAACAGCCTCTTAATTGATCACCCTTATTTTCAAGTCTTGCACCATCTTACACACTGCTCCTGAAGCAATTTTCCTTAAATGTGTATTTATCATCCTTTACTCAATCAACTGCAATGGTTTCCTGTTATTTCTAGGATAATGTATTAACTCCTCTATTTAGCTTTTAAAGGTATTCACAACCTGGCCCCAACCAAGCTTTCCAGCCCCATCAGACATTACTGTTCCTCCCCAGCCTCTTCTAATATTCCCGACTGCTACTGTCCTCTCTCCAAAACCACCTTGTATTTAATTATTTAGTACTTCTCCCCCATTTATTCAGTTTTTATTTTGCTGCATGTACTTACAGATGTACTTTTCATCTCCCTTATTAGAAAGCACACTCTCTAGTATGGGAGTGTTTCGTTCTTTTTATTTGTATCTTCAACACTGAGCATAGTGCCTGACCTGTAATAGGCACTTAGATTCTTCTTGATTGATTAAAAGAGAGTCAAGAAGGAGATTCTGAGTCGGAGTGTAGGGCCACTTCAAGTCAGATAGAATGAATTTGTAGTTGGCTACCAAACTGAAAGCTTCTTAAAGGCAAAGACTATGTCTTAGTCACTTTTTATCCTTCAGTGCCTAGCATAGCATAGAACCTTGTACATAGAATGCTGTAGTATAAGTCATAGATGTCAAACACATGGATGGCAATATATTAAGGCCAAAAAAAACCCTCCCAGTGCAGCTCGAACTAGATTAAAATGCAATTGGGAAATATTTAACAAAATAAAAATACAATAGAAATAGATAATATTAAGAAGTGGTTTTCTGAGTCAATATATAGCTGACAGAGATCTTCATGTATGGTTAGTGACTCCATTTCTACTTGAGTTTGACTTAGTTTTAAAATTTAGTGTTATTTGTGTTTTATTGTATTTTTATTTATTTTGTTAAATATTTCCCAATTATATTTTTATCTGGTTTGAGCCTCTCTCTGTGTGGCAGGCCACAAAAGGACCTTTGGGCCTCTTGAGGTCTTGGAGACAAAAGACCCAGATCTGAGTCCAGGCTCTGACTATAGATGTATAATTGTTGGCAAGTTTTTAACTTCATTGAGTCTCATCCTCAAAATGGGATTATTATTATTTGCATTACATTCTTCACAAAGTGGTTATTAAAAAACAGCTCAATGAACCTTTAAAGTGCTACATAAATATGAATTATGCCATGTGTTGAGTTAAATTGAATTGATCCCTTTGGCAGGTTTGTTAGTTTGTCTCTGGCTTGGCTGCCAGAAAGCAGATGGTGGGAGTGACCGAGGATCGGCGATTGTTGTAATGGACTAACACAAGGTTTAAATACAGTGCACTGAGTTTCATTCCCTAAACTTTGGGAAAAATTCTTGACAACAAAAATCCTCTGTAAATTTATTTGGGTCTAAGAGAATCAGGTCCTTTCTTTATCACTATAGGAATGGGAATAAGATAGGGACACTCATTTCATTCTTCTTTCCCAGCTCTCTCATGACCTCATTGTTGTTATTGTCGTTTGTCTTTCATTCTTGAAGAGGACCATGACATTAGGAAGGTGATGCCCTGACTTGCAAGTGAATTGGGTTTAAGGGAAGGAGGGCTGTGCAAAGTCACCAGCCTCACTTTCTCCTCCAGAGCCATTTGGATCCAGTGACCAGATATAAATCAGGATGACTGGAGATGGCTCTGGCATGACCTCATTAATCTTTAGGGGGAGGCATTAGTATGCCATTCGAAGACTGCATGAATGCTAAGATAGGTCTCCACATTCCTTGGCTTCAACAAGCATAGAATTGGTTCCATTAGAATGTAATCTCCTTGAGGACAGTGACTATTTGCCTTTTATCTTTGTATCTCCAATAGTTAGCACAGTGCTGGAAAGCCCAATACTTCGCACAGAATAAGCTCCTAAATAAATGCTTATTGATTGATTAGTTTCCCTTAAGCGTTTAGTTTATAACCTTTGCGCTTGCTGCCACCTACTCTGGGTACAGATCATCACCATCAGAGTTAAACCCATTTTTTTGAAGTACAGGGAACTATAAGTCCAGTTGATTCTTTAAACTCATAAATCATATCAATTGTTGACTGTTACGTGCATAACGACCACACTCAAATCACTGACTTTAAAATGAAAGCAACACATCTATGGTTTAGTCATGAACTTACAAAATGAAAATTGCTGGTGTCACAGTGGCATGTATACTAAAGAATTATTCTCTTCTTTTCCCCACTTTTTTCTTTCTCTTTCTCTCTTTCTCTCTTCCCCCACCCTTTTTCTTCCTCTTCCAATTACCCTTCACCCACCCCTTTCTGTCCTTTAAAAATAACCAACAATAGCCTGTAGAAAAGATTTTTTGTCAAATCCAACATCGAAAGAAAATCCCTATTCATACAATCTCCTTCAACTGCCATGATGAAGATGCCAACGAATTTTTGAAGGAGCTCTCCCTGAGGACTGGAGGAGAATTCCATTACTTTCATTTTGGTTCCCCGGATCCTTTGGAGCCAAGTGTTTACATAATAAGAGAGTCTGTCTGACAGGGAAGGAGGTGTTCCTTTGGTTTAGTGAACCATGATTTTCATCTTATTAGAATAACAACCACAAAATCCTACAACAAAATGCCACCTACCAACCTGGGCGTGGTTGATTCTATTGGTTTGGTTACTGTCAGAGTGTATCGTTTATATATTGCTTTGTTCCCAAACTGGTGGCTTATCCTCTTATTGCCCCAGAGATGATATGACCCCTGGCCTGGCCAGAGGAAAAGAGAATGAGAGCTGCTGCTTGCTTTTCTGCCTCCCAGAGAGGAGAGACAAGAGACACAAAATGGCAGCAAAAGTTGTATTTGTATGTCTTACTTAGGCCCTTGCGAGGTAGCATGGTAGGAAGGGTGCTGAGCTGGGAGTCAAGAAGACCTGAGTTCAAATCTTTCTGCATATATACTGTTTGTATGATTTTTAGACTTTGGACATCTCTTTGAACCCCGCATGAGTTTTCTTATCAGTAAAATGAGAGAATTGACATCTAAAGTCTCTCCCTACTATAAATCTATAATCCTGAGATTATGTAAATGTCAGTAAGGACATTCCCAGGGATTATGAGGGCCTGTTATCATTCCTTTTACTTCATGTCTGGTTTCCCCTTGCTAGAATTAGCTCCCCACCAGAAGGAGAAGGCAAAACTGCATCTTGTACATCTAAACCTTTGTGTGGGAGAGAGTGCTTCAAACCACTTTATTATTATTTTTAAAAATTTTTACTTTCAATATTTCCACAATTTCTCTCTTCTTCCACTCCTCTCCCACCCACTGAGAAGGCAAGAAAAACAATACTCATTATACATATAAAGTCATACAAAACATATTAGCCACGTTAGCCATATTAGCCATGTTGCAAAAAAGAAAGCATGAAGGAAAGAAAGAAAAAGAAAGTAAGGATGGAAGGAAGGAAGGAAGATTAAAAAGTGAAAAAAAAACCCATATGCTTTCATCTGCACTCAGAGATCATTAGTCAAACCCCATTAAAGGAATGCTCAGTTTTGATTTGACAATGTCCAACCCTGCTAGCAAGAGAAAACTGCTTCCTCAGGTTCTTGGAATGACCTCAACAAGTGAGACTTACTGTTTGGGTGGGAGATGACATGTTATTATATCATACCCCTATTCCAAGCCGCTAACATCTTCATGATGTTATTCCACTAATGGAATGGATTGAAATTGCAGTGATTCGAGATTAGTTTGAATTAGCAAATATCCTCTGATACAAAATACATGGGATTAGAGCAGCATTTGTCAGTCTTTTGTATTTTGTGTGAATTAGTTTAATCAGATTGCTTTCCTCCTAATGTTTAGCTAAGATCAGCCAAACAGGGAGTAATAATTTTTGTAGGAGATGTGATAGGAGAGAACATTTGATGAAGAAGACACTCTTTTTTTTTTTCCAAATGAAATCATTTAATATTTGATGAAGGAGAACATAGGACAGAGTTAGAAATCACAGTTGGGGAGGGTTTGGTTAGCCAAGAAGCCACATAAATGGATTGAGCAGTTCTTTGGGTGATGTACACTACAGAGTAGAGGAACGGACCAAAGACAGATTTGCTTCATGGTTTTGACTAATTCTGGTCTTGGTGGAAGTTATAGTTCAATTATCTATAGTTCAATTGTCTTTCTTCCGCATATATTAGGCAAGTAAAAAAATCTAGCAGTCAAAACTGGAAGTTTTTTTTATTATAGCTCCATTCCCTTCTTCTATGGAGATGTCCCATTACTTTACTTATTATGGAATTTGTGCAGTTATTAACAAAGCAATATTTAAGTAATTTGCTTTGTGAATTATCTTGTTTGGGCACATGCCTTAGAACGTTGCCCTCACAAAAGACATGTTTATAGAAAAGCCATCAGTTCAATGTGTCTGATCCCCAGAGACATTGTTCTGCAGCCACAGGATATAGGTTCAAATCTTTCCTCTGATATTTATTACCTGTGTGACCTTGGACAAGTCACTTAACATTTTGAACCTCAATTTCTTTGTTTGTAAAATGAGGTTATTGGATTAGATGACCTCCTAGGTCCCTTCCAACTCTAGATTTATGTTCTTATTGAAATTAATTCCCTTATAATATTATTTACCAGACATCCTATGTTTGGAAATGGATTTATATAGAATATGCCTAAATAGGAGGAAAAATTTTGAACTATACGTGTCCCAAAAATCTTAGTATGATTTTAACCTTAAAATTGCACTGACTTTTGGGATACTCTCTATGTTGGTTAAATGCTTTCCCCTGCATTTTACAACCATGAATTTATCCAAAGGTAATTGGAAAGGAAAGTATCTCTTATACATCTTGTTTGTACAAAGTTGTACTATTATCTCTCCCTCCTCTGCCTTCCTCATTGGAGCAGCTAGGTGATGCAGTAGATAGAGTGCTGCATCGGCAGTCAGGAAGACTCATCTACCTGAGTTCAAATTTCACCTCAGACACTTAGCAGCCATGTAACCCTGGGCTGGGCAAGTCATTTAACCCTCTTTGCCTCACTTATCTCATCTGTAAGATGAGCTGGAGAAGGAAATGACAAAGAGCTCCAGTACCTTTGCCAAGAAAACCTTAAATGGAGTCCCAAAGAGTCAGACAGCACTGACATGATTTAACGGCAGCCACCTCCCCTCCGCCCTTAGATTTCAAGGGCAGGGACTAGTTTTGCTAATCCAACGCTTAACACAAGTCCCAACACGTAATACTTAATAAATGCTTTTTGATGGCTAATGTGGAAACATGTTTTATGTGACTCCACATGTATAATTGATATTATACTGCTTACCTTCTCGATGGATAAGGGAGGGGCCTGGGAGAGAGAGAGCGAATTTGGAAATCAGAAATTTTTAAGAGTTAATATTAAAATTAATTAATTAATAGACAAATAAATGGAGCATGTAGAGGGGATATTTCTTGAAAAAAATGTTTGTTGACTTGGCTAACTTGACTTTAATTGAAAGATGACCACCTGACTGGACTTTTGGGGAACTAAAATGGAAAAAATAAATGAAGTCTTGTTTTTTTCTTTTCCTGAACCAGATTACAAGCTCTAAGAAATGTTGTTGTAAAATGTGGATCAGCAATATTTTCTGAATAGTATATGTGTCTGCTTCTCATTTTGGCAGAATAAACAATTGAACCTTTTACTAAGTGAAATTGAAATGGGACAAAATGACCTTGAGAGAGTGCAAAACCTTTACACTGAATCCATGCTGTTGGACTGGTGGCATAATGCAGAGAAAGCTGAAGAAACTGAGTAATTATTCTATATCTCATATGACATATGTTTTTCATAATGTCTTCAAGTCTTCCGAAATATGTTGTTAAGTTTCCTGTGACATTGTTTTTCCTTTTTAACGTATTTTCCATGATTGATTTCTGCAAAAGGAGCCTTGAATTAAGGTTTCCTGAAGATTAGTTTTGAGAAGCTAGATAAAGAATATTTATAATCTAATTTTAAACAGAATTCCATTTCAATGAGCTCAAACAAGCTTATTTTAGAGACAAAGTTACAAGTCACTACATTAGCTCAGAATGACATTCAAGGTGTTTCAGGAAGTACAAGACCTGAGATATCTACAAAGTACTCAATATTTCCACAGCTTGTGACTGCTGTCATTTAAGGTATTTGAGTGAGCACCAACAGCGTTTTGATGTTGCCAAGAGGAAGGTGAGAGTTTAGGCACAGTAGGAAACTGTGAGGCAGGTACTGACATCAATGAGAAAGGAAAGAGAATTGTCATGGAGTTTTCCAAGAAAACCCCAAATGGGGTCATGAAGAGTTGGACACAATTGAAAATAACTGAACAACAATTCAGGATGATATATCTGATGGTATTTCCATAGCACTCCCATAATGTCTCCATTTAAATATCGCTAGTGAAGTTCATTCTGACTCTTTCCTTCTGTATATAAAATATTCATCATTCAACATTTTTATCAACCATTTACTACGTGCAGAATGCTATGTTAGTTACAATTTAGCTAAGATCTAGTCCTTGTCCTCATGGAGTGTACACCTCATAGGAAGCTAAGTCACCAAACCAGATAACTGTACTACAAAATGCATGACAAATCTATCTGAAAGAGGAAAAAACATAGCAGGAGGTAAGGGTCATTGTTGCATAACTTAAATGCAACAGTGTGTGGGCACCTCTTTCCAAGTCTTGACTTCAGGCAGAAAAATGGCAGTTCTAGAGAGAGTGCATACCTTCTAGGGCTGCTGGCTAGATCAGGTCCACGAACAGTAGAACTATCTAAGCAGGAGGGCAATAGCTGCAGTTGCATAAATCTATCCTGGGACTAATGATCCCATTTCCCCAACTTTATCCTTTTTCTCACTTGGGGGCTCCATGATGTGTTTGTCATGTTTGGTGACACTGGCACTCTTTGTATCTTCTGGGGATCCCTCCTGTCTTCTGGGGAACCACAGGTTGGAGAATTGGGTTTGCAGTTTCTGCGTGTTGGAGTTTTGTTTTTATTTTTCATTGAATAAATGAAGATTTGGAAAGCATCCCTGAAAATCAGTTATACTGAAATTTGACTATTTGTATATTATTCATGTGTTGAAATAGAAAGTAGTTGAATTTTTAAATGTAGCATTTTTGCCTTGATTTTCTAATGATATATTTGTGCATTCTTCGTAGAAATATCTTGTGTTCTCTCTTTGCTATTTTCCCTTTCTAAAAAATCCCCAGGTATAAAAAACCCACCTATGCAGTGGTTTCAAGAACAGAAAGTACAACAGACATACCTTTACAGAAGCCTACACTTAGAATGGTATCCCCAGCTGAGACTGGTTTCTTTAGTCCTTGTGGAAGCCCACCTCAGACTCGTTTGAAGAAGAAAGCACCATTTGCAGGTACTGTCAATCAGTCAAGTAGCATTTATTGAGTACCTACTGAGTGCTAGGCACTGTGCTAAGTGCTACGGATGCAAGAAAAGGCAAAAAACCAACAACACAAAATGCTGGTCTCAAAGGGCTAACTTATGGTCTAATGGGAAAGACAAGATGACAAGACAAGATATCATTCAAAAAGACAAAATGTACTACAGACAAGACAGATAGTGGAGAGGATCACAGAATGAAGGCACCAGAATTATGGAGGAGGAGAAAAGGCTTCTTACAAAACGTAGGATGTTAGGAGGTGAGACTTCAGGGAAGCCAGGGGGTGGAGATGAAGAGAGATTGTGTTCCAGGCATGGGAGATGGCTGGTGAAAATGTCGAGAAGTTGGGAGGAGTGTTGTTATGTGAGGAACAGGAAGGAAGCTGGTGTCACTGCATCAAAGAGGAGAGATGTAAGGTGTAGGAACACTGGAAAGGTGGTCTTGGGTAGGTTATGAAGGGCTTTAAAAGTTGAAGATTTAAATTTGATCCTAAGTACTGGTGACTTAGATGGGTTGAATTTTCATGTGATTCATCCTTCCATTTTGGGTGATAGTTGGGGCTAAAATTAAATCCCCATTGGAAAAGAGGCTACCATCTCATTCATACTATCCCGTCTTAGATTTTAATACTGCCATAACCTACATTTTAGTGTTTGAGTTAGACAATCCTGAGATGTATTTGTAGTTATTTCTGTCTCTCTGTGCAAGAGAATTGGTGTTGATATATGGAGACTGGGCACAGGGTAAGGGGTAGAAGTAAAGATTTGAATTCCATCCCTGATACAGGTGCTGTTGTTCACTTTGTTTTTGGGTAAGTTCCTCAGCTTCTGTACAGGCAGTGATTTGAAGTCAGAGCCATGCTAATGGAGCCAGACTGTAGCTTCATCTCTCACATAGACCAGTTAACTTTGCAGATGGCATGACCAGGCCCAACCTCAGTAGGTATCAGTGGGAATACGGGCAACCAACCCAGGAGTACCCCTTCTAGTTCTAAAGTTCTACAGGTTCATGAGTGGATCAAGGCAAATCCATCCTCCCACTTTAAAAAAATGCCCCCAGGAATGTTGTCTTCCTATGCAAAACCCAGAACATTTATGCCTATTACTCTTGATGTGGATAAGTTTAAGGTTTGTTTATAATTTTTGCCAATTTATACAGGCAAAACCCATTTATTATTATTATTATTATTATTATTAATTGCCAATTATAGAAGTAGCTAGGTAGCTCAGTAATAGAGCTCTGGGCCTACACTCAGGAAGACCTGAATTCAAATCTGGCCTTAAATACTTACTAGCTGTGTGACCCTGGGCAAGTCATCTTCCTCAGTTCCCTCATCTGTTAAATGGGGATACCTTCCAGAGTTGTTGTGAGGATAAAATGAGATAATATTTGTAAAGCACTTTGCACATCTTGAAGTACTATAGAAATGTTAGCTATTCTTGTTGCTTTTCTTTAAGTTTTTATAGCTACACAAAACACTTATCTGAAATATACATGGGACCTGGGGTTCATATGACAATTAAAAACTGGATTTAAAAGAGGCCCCATTGATTTAGCCATTTTTGTTTCATTAGCAACTTCAGTAGAAAAGAAAAAAGAATTTGTGGGATTGGTGGGATCTGAAATCTCGTGTTCGTAGAAGTATTTTTAGGTCTGTCTCCTTGTTCCTATCCCCCTTAAGAGACTCGAATGACTGACTGGTTCCTGCCCTGTCCCTTGAAATGAAATGACACTGGTGGAGGTCTAAGAGTGGAATATTTTCACTTTTCCTGCATATTCTTATTAGCCTCATCAGGTACTACTGGTTATGTCTTCTTTGAGGGAACCAGGATGGGTACCTAAATTGATGTGTAATCTCAGTAACTGAGACTTGAGGTGCTCCACAAAGTCTACTTATTGGTCATGAGAGCTAAAAGCCAAGAATAGAGGGGCAGCCAGGTGGCACAGTAGATAGAGCACCAGCCCTGAAGTCAGGAGGACCTGAGTTCAAATGTGGCTTCAGACCAAAACACTTGACGCTTACTATCTGTGTGACCCTGGGCAAGTCACTTAACCCCAATTGCCTAAAAAGTAAGAAAAATAAAAAAATAAAAGCCAAGAATAGGAAATGGATCATGAGACAGACCTGTCAATCATGAGTATGGAATCAATATAAGGATCCCCAAAACAGCCAATGTGAAACTAAGGCAATGAGGAGTCAACAAAACTAAAATCAGAATCCAAAACAGGTTGGTCACAAATTGGAATGAGGGTCAACATAGGAAAAGCAAACAATATAAATCAGAGCATTAGGCCAATAGAGGAGAGCACTGGTAGTTAACTAAGTCCTCCCCAAGTCCTCCTCCCAAGGCTTCCCATGTCTCCAAGCAGTCAAAATTGAGATTGCCTGGGCATGATCAATGTGTGAAACAGGCAGAGGTTAGTTAGAGGGTGACTTTGGCCTTACTTTTTAAGGAAATGCACATGTTAGTAAGATCCTCGATATTACCTGGCTGGTTCATGAGGGGAAAATTCAGTTAAACCTTTTAAATGCATTTTTCCTCTATGCCATCAAACTGTTTATTTATTATTGAGTCATTTCGGTTGTGTCTGACTTTGTGACCCCATTTTGGGGTTTTCTCGGCAAAGATACTGGAGTGGTTTGCCATTTCATTCTTCAGCTCATTTTACAGATGAGGAAACTGAGACAAACAGGGTTAACTGCCTTGCTCAGGATCACACAGCTAGTAAGTGTCTGAGGCTGGATTTGAATTCACTCCAGGCTCAGCATTTTAACCCCTGCACCACCTAGCTGCCCCATTTAAAAAGTCAACATGTTGTTTTGTGAATGGTAAATACTATCTAAGATTTGATTTTCCGGGTCTTCTCTAGCTTTGCACGTTTTCTCTTTCAGTGCACACAAATGCTTTCAAGGATTTGGGTTGCTTGTAATTAGAGTATGGATCTGCATGTATTATTAGGCCCTAGAGTAGAAGACAGAGAAAGAGACTAGAAACCCCCGGAGCAGCTATTTAAATTTGATGATACTGCACCATAGTGAGTATGGTGCTCTATTCTAGTATGCCACCATAGAGTTAAGAAATCAGTGTATATGTCTGTCCAAATGCAAAGAAAAGCTTAAGAAAGGGTGTGGGGGCATTATGTACTTGCCAGAGAGGTTGTTTTAGAAACTGGACTAAATTGTCTTTTCTTCCCCCACCCCTTCCATGCCAATCTTCCAAACCTCTTCTTTCTGCAAATTCCAACAGAACCAACAAAAACTAGTCTGCTCAGGAATTCCTTTATCGAAAAGAAGCTCAGTGAAGATAGCTCAACTGCAAAAAAGCACCTTCCTCCTGAACAAAAGAGGTCTTCCAGAAAACAAAGCTGTTCACCCAGTTGTAAAGGTCAGCTTGCAAAAGAGAGCTAGATGAAAATGCAGGTGTGCTCTGATTTACACAAGAATGATATTAAGAGATCGTATGGTCATGGGTTTAGTGCTGTAAAGGAACTTAGAGGCCATCAAATCCAATCTCCTCATTTTTAAATATAGATGAAGAAACTGAGGCAGAAAGGTTAATTGACTTGTCCACTGTCATGTAGCTAGTAAGGATCTGGGGCAGAATTTGAACCCAGATCCTCCTACCTCCAAGTATGGTGCTCTATTCTAGTATGCCACCTAGCTGAGTCTCTTGGTTAAGATCATGAATCTATAGCTGAATAAAGTCTCTGAGATCCCTTTTCTAAACTCTCTCATTTAATACTTGAGGAAATGGAGGACCAAAGAGGGAGTAACTTAGGGAAAGTCACATAGGGAGTAAGCATCAGAGGCATCATAACTGATACAGAGCAAAACAAACAGGACCAATAAATAATATATACAGTAACTACAACAATGTAAATGAAAAGATCACTAATTACTTGTTTATCTTTTTAAGATATTGATTTGCTTAAAATGAGGAAAACATGTTCACAGAATATTTATTGTTTAAAAAAAAATTCCATTTTGATGATTCCTGTTTTCTTTGTCAGTTTGGGTTTACAAAACCATCATTGAAGTTTTCAAAAGAATTGCAAACTCTAAATGACCATATGAAAAATGCTCTAATGCCGGGGTTGGTAAGCTAAGGACCTCATTGCCCAGAAGCTAAGAATGGTTTTGATATTTTAAAATCAAGTTTTATTGCATTAAAAAAGGTAAATGACATGCAATAGGAATTTGGGCCTTCAGCTGTAGTTTGCTGACCCCTGCTCTAAATCACTGAAAGCATTATTTAAATCAACTCTGAGATTTCACCACATACCCTGCAAATTGACAAAAAATGGGAACAGTGAAGGATGGAAATTTTTTAAAATATATGCCTCATTCTGCAACTTGTGTCTATCACCTTTATGTCAAGAGGTAGAAAACATTATCAGTCTTTGGGAATCGTAACTGATCATTGCATTGATTAGAATTGTCAAGCCTTTTAAAGTTGTTTTTCTTTATAGTGTTGTATAACTAGTTATCCAGGTTCTGCTCATTCTACCTTATATCAGCTCATACAGGTCTTCCTAGACTTCTCTGAAATTGTTCTTTTCATCATTTCTTATGGAGCAAGAATATTCCATTACATTCATAAACCACAACTTGCTTAGCCATTCCCCAACAGAAGGGCACCCCTTTAAGTCTTGGATACAAGCAAACTATATGTAACTTTAGTACAATTAATGTTTTTCTAGTAGTATCTAGTAGTATCAACGTACTGCTAAGTTCTAAAATGTTGCTATAAAATTGTGACGTTGCCTTGTTCCTACTTAATTAACTATCCTATAATAATGCTTTACTTAATTCTGTATATATTTCCAGAACCAATTCATGACATTAAATCATATATGTTCATACTTTTCTTGCAATTAGGTGAGTAGTGCTTTGGTTACGTCTTTTGGGTATGAATAGCCAGGGTTGTCTGGCTATTTTTAATGAGAGAGAAATTAGTATGCTTCTCCATCTGCTTTTAAAAATTAAAAAAGTCTCTTTAATAAAAAGCTAGTTGTGTATATTAGCCAATAATACTAATCATTAAATTTAAAAATAGTATATAATTAGAGCAAAATTTTATAGATATCTAGTTACCATTAGTCACTTTATTCACTAATGCCCAGTTGTTACCAATGTAACTTTAATTTCTCCAGGATGTACAAAATACTTCTTTCAATTCACTCTTAAATCTATTACAGTCAGAAACAAAACTGTTTCAGGATAGGTACAAGATTTCTGTCCTTCAGGGCTTCCAAATACTTTTTTAGGAAAATCACTTGCAGACAGTTGTTATTGTCTGCCAATAGCTTTCTTCTACCACAGCTATCCAGTAGTCTGTTTATCCTGCTAGATTTCTCTGCTCTCTCTCCTTTTTTTTTTTGCCTTCAAAACTTCATGGTAGCACAGTGCATTCTACTCCAACAGGACGAAACCACGTAATTGTCATTCTGAACAAATGAATGAAAGATTTGAGTATCTACTATGTTCAAGGCCCTGGATTATGAAAAGGCATTGATATTTCCCTCGATGGGATTCCCATTTATTCAGTCAGTTAATTAATAGAGATTTATTAAGTGGCTACTATATGCCAGTACCAAGCTGGGGATACAGACACAAAAAACAAAGACATTTCTTGCCCTCAAGAAATTTACAATCTAACAAGAGAAGATAACTTGCAAAAAGAAGCTGAAAGAGGGCATGTGTGAGGTGGGGCACAAAAGGAAGGTACCTGGCACAAAAAATGATGGTCCTAGGCATTCTCTTTAAATGGAGGCTTTAGGAGGAACTTCCTGCTCTGCCCTCCAATCAGAGGGATACCTCAGGGTTCATGAGGTTTTCTAAATCAGAGCTTAATGGAGTCATTTCAAAGTCCCTGCTTTCTAATCACTGCTAAGTAGAGTTTGAGTTGACTAGTAATCTACATAGAATGATTAAAATTTTCATATAAACCACTGACCTGCAATTTTACACTTTGATTTCTGATAATGACTAATTTCTTTTAAAAGAGTCGTGTCCTTTTCAGCTAAAAATGCAAGCAAATTCCAGGGCATAATTTTCAACAATATTTAAACAGAATTCAAAGAGGTTTTTGAGTAGACAGGTAGTTTTTTTTTTTTACTATACTTGTGCTATCATAAAGCTACCTGTATGACCTTGAACAACTTCCATAAACATTTCTGGTCCTCTCAGTTCCTTCATCTGTCAAATTAGGGGGTTCAGCCCTGTGGCCTCTAAAGTACCTGATGCCTCTAAATCTATAATACTATGAACAAGGACCATAATATAATAAAATATGGCTAAAAGATTTTGAAATGTGTAATCATGGCACTATATAACAGCTAAAACAGTTTTAGCCGATTTCTTTATTGCATTTTCTTAAAATGTCTGTCCTAGCTTATTTGAGATCTTATGCTCCTTTGTTGTGGATGCAATAGGAGTAGGAGGAATTAGAAAATGGTTGGTGATTTATTTCATTCAGGAGCCTTGAACTATAAAATCCAAAAGCACTTGAGTCTATATTATGTTTTTATGACTAGTTCAGGATTAGCTCAGAGCGTTTGCCTAATTGCTAGCAAAACCAAGGCAATACACTCTTGATGAACATACTAAGCCTTTAGAAATTAAAAAAAAAAAACAATCAAAATTGACTGAGCAATACAACCAAGATGTACCATTGAGAATACTTTAAAAACAAAACAAAACATTTGTCCTTGACCACCAATCATCTCAGATAGAGAAATAATTATGAAGCCAATGTAGTTTGTTATAAAACCCACATATGGTGATTCCTTTGTATATTTACAACTCTTTCTCCACAGAAATGAATTTAATAGGTGAAAAAATATCAGAAGTGAGGAGTAGAGAATCAAGCCAAGAGTAAGTATTTTAATTTCACTAGGGTATACCAGGCTGTTTTGCCATCTTTTTTTGAATCTGAATTACAATTTTTTTCTCTCCTCCCCCTCCATCATCTTCCGTTGCACCTCACAGAAATCTGTGTTCTTAGTTCTCTAGATATGTCTTCAGAAACCTGGCTCAAGGTCCATGGCTTGGTTGCTAAGTGACTCACCATAATGAATGCCTTATCCACTACGACCATTCCACACTGCTCGAAATATGTGCCGATTCTGGGCAAGCATGTCGTTTCTAAAGTATACGATTCGGTAAAACTCACGCTGTTCTTGTCAAGGCCTTATACTATATAAACTACAGCCCTGATAATGTTACTGCTAGAGGAGGGTTTTGCTGTTTCTCTGCATACACCACATAGTCCATTTAAATTTCTTAGTGTGTTCTACAAAAAAATACATATTACATCATTAGAAAATGTTTATTCATGATGGCAGCTGCTGAAAAATAGATTGCTAATAAATATGGCTTTTGTCTTTTTTAATCTGAGGGGAATGTAAAATGGGCCTCCATGATACAGGCTTTTCTTGTCTATTTACCAGTGGGTGGTAGTATGGAGCTATTCAGGTATTTCACTATAGATGCAAATTTTCTGCGTAGCATCATGGAATTAGAAAGGACCCTTGAAGGTTATTTCATTCATTTGCTTGCTTTCTTACCCTAAAGAGATGAGAATTTTTGACTTTTAAAAGGTCTCTAGATTAATTTTAACTGCTTCTTTTAGTAACTCATCTGGATGTTTGATGTAACTCACTGTAGGAAAATTAAATCTTTGTTTTAATCAAAATGCTTGATGGTCCAGGATAATTCTACTTCTTCTTCTATTGCCCTCATGAAGATGGAGAGCAGCTCTCTGAGACCAATCCTTCTTGGCCTTGTCAATTATGAGATTATCACACACACACACACACACACACACACACACACACACACACACACACACTCACACCTCTCAGTTCTTCTAAACTTACTTCATAGTTATTGGGATTTGGGGGTTTTGTTTTGTTTTGTTTTTTGCAATTTTAAAATTATCTTTTTGCCACCTCTCTAAGTTTCTGTAGTCATTGTGCCCATGATATATCATTGACTTGGAATAATGTTGAGGTTTGCCCAGGGCCCAGTGTAAGGAGATTGCCTTATGGTTGCTCATGCTTTTTTGATGTTATTACTGCATTGCTGAATCATATTCAGTTTTCATGTCTGTGTCTGTTTTCCTCCTTGGGTAGCCATTGTAGAAGCTGTTCCAGACCTTCTTTTCTCTCCTTAGGCCTCCCATGTGACCCTGTTCCCCTATCCTCCCAGCTGAGGATCTGTGCTTATACTTCATGAAAAAAGAAATAGAGGCCATTGTCAATGAACTCCATCTTTTTCCTTTTTTCCCATTTCACACTCCTCTGCCCCATCATGGAACATGATCTCCTCTTTTATCCTAATCTCTGATGAAGATGTAGGCCTTTCCCTCGCCAAAGCTAACCTCTCTATATGTACCCTTTTATCCCATTCCCTTCCATGTCCTCTAGTGTACTGTCTCCACTATTCTTCTTCTTCTTCTTCTTCTTCTTCTTCTTCTTCTTCTTCTTCTTCTTCTTCTTCTTCTTCTTCTTCTTCTTCTTCTTCTCTCACTCTCAAATCTCTCCTTATTTATTGGTTTCTTGACTACCTACAAATATGCCCATATCCCACATCATGAAAAACCCTCACCAGATGCTGCTATCCCTTCTAGCTGTTGTCCTCTTTCTCCCCTCACCTTTTCAGCTAAACTCTTTGAAAAAGCCATCTATGCTTGGTGTCTCTGCTTTCTCTCCTCTCACTTTCTTTTAAACTCTCTGCAAACTGGCTTCTGACCTCATCTTTCAACAGAAATTGTCCTTTCCAAAGTCATCAGTGATTTCTTTTTTCTTATTTTTTTTATTAATTTATTTTGATTTATCAGCAATCATTTACATAAGCTTTTCAGTTCAAATTTTTTTCTCCCCCTCCCTCCACCCTCCCTTTCTTCATGCATGATGTTCTGTGTTTTGTCCATACGCCTTTGCCCTGGGCTGTCCCTGATCCTTGGAATAGTCTTCCTCCTCCCTTCTGACTCTTAGAATCCCTGGCTTTCTTTAAGACTCATTTCAAGCACCACCTTCTATAGCAAGCCTTTCCTGGTTCCTTCTGATGCTAATGCCTAATGCTCTGAGGCTACCTTGTATTTTATTCTCATTGTGTACCCTACATATCTATTAATGCTCCTATGTAGGGCAGCTAGGTAGCACAGTGATAGAGTGCCAGAGTTGGAATCTGGAAGACTCATCTTCCTGAGTTCAAATCTGTCCTTGGACACTTACTAAGCTGTGTGACCCTGGGCAAGTCACTTAACTCTGTTTGCCTCAGTTTCCTCATCTGTAAAATGAGCTGGAGAAGGAAATGGCAAACTACCCCAGTATCTTTGTCAAGAAAATCCCAAATGGGGTCATGAAGATTTGTACAGAACTGAAAATGACTGAACAGCATGAGGCTCATATTATTTCTCCCACCAGAATATGATGTAAGGAATAAAAAGCAGAGACCTTTTCCATCGTATTCCAGTGCTTAGCACAGTGCCTGGCCCATAGTAAGTACTTAATGTCTGTTAGTTGATTGGGTTTGGTCTTATTATATCCTTCATTCTTAATTTTCTCTGGCTACTTTATATTCTGATCTTGTCCTTCAAAGTGCTTGCCTGCCTTGTTTTTCAAAAGTGCATGTATTTATTCATCTATTCTACCTTTGCCATAGCTAATGAATTAGACTGAAAACATATCAGGGTTCACAAGCTGTAGAAGAAGTAAAATATAATAGATATTGTCAAAAGCTGTCATCTACATTGCTTTACAACCACTCAGATTGTATGTATGTGGAAGAAATACGTGAAATTATCCTGTAGTCTGTTGCACAGCGTGTTTGGAGGAATATTTATAATGCTGACTAAAATGTCTGAGGATCCTGGAGCTTAGGTCCTAGATGTAGAGTGTAAAGAATGTCAGAAATCATCTAAGCCAACTTCCCCATTTTACAGTTGAAGGAAGATGAGCCCCAAATAGGTGAAATGATGTGTCCAAGAATGGAGACTTGAACTCAGCTTCTCTGACTCTCAACCTTGCTCTAGACTCTACACTTTGCTCCTTCTAGTCACTAGACCATCTGTGGATTAGCACTGGAGTTCCATCATGGCGGATTGTCCCCTACCTGCCCTTCAGCCTCTTTGCTTCTGTGGCAGCCTCCCCTCCTTCCTCTGGTAGTGGCCCTGTGGTAGCGCCATCCTGTTGACCTCCAAAAAAATATGACCCCCATAGGCAGGAATTTATTTCCTTATCCACTGAACTTGGCTTTTTCCCAAAAATACTTGAGATAGACAAGAAACCATTTTGTGTCCTTTAGGAAGGCCTATAAAGACTCCTCATGCTCCATGAGTTTATTTCATTAAGATTCTTCAGCAGTTTTATTTGGAGGAAAACACATTTGGTATCATTTCTGTGAAACCAGTGGACTTTAATGGCACCTAAAATTTATCTGCTATATCCTCTCCATAGACGTACCCATAAAAGTGACTTCATTAAGATGAGAAAATGCTCCTCCCTCCCTTCGTTGCAGAAGTCGGTGGGAAAGGATGGATGTGGAACACTGAATAGACTGACAGCCAGTGCTGATGTTTTGGGTAGTTTTATGGAACTGCTGGGTGTTTCTTTCTCTTTTGTCTTTCTTTTTTATTCATACAAGGGATGTCTCTCTTTGGGGACAGAGTAGGGAAGGAATATATTCGAAAATTAAGATGACATGAAAACAAAGGCATTAATCAGATTTTTTAAAAAGTTTTTAAAAGTGACTTTAAAACAACAACATTAGAACTCAAAGTAAAATGAGGTGGGGGGTGGGGGTATGTGATTAAGGTTAAGGGAAACTTTAAGCAGTTCTTATTAATAGATAATCCATCCCCGACCCTGACATTGGGGCAGAACTGTATGAAAATAATTGTTCATAAAATAAAATAATTATGTCATTGCTGTCCACATTCATGTTTCAGTATGCATTTTAATTTTCATCTTTAAGAGTATCTAGGTTACTTCATGTGCACTGTATTGATTTTTCAAATAGGTTTTCCACATGTCCTTGCTATTTAATATTTTTATACATATTAAATACACACATTGATAGTTAATATAAATACATATTAAGCAAATTTGAACCTAATTATAGTACTTATATACTGGTACTCCTCACTTGTCCAGAATAGTTAGGGAAATATTTTTTTCTTCCCAGGGAAGAGTTGGATCTAGGAGTTCAGTGGAATAAGGAAGCTTTTGATGAGGAAATTCCTACCAACAGAAATCTGTAACTGTTCTACAATTTAGTATTAGGGAGTTGTCTAGATCATGGGAAGGTTAAGTGACTAGGCCAGCTAGTATGTGTCAGAGGAAAGACTTGAACCTAGGTCTTCATGACTCAGGCAGGCTTCCTATTCACTACTTATGCTGCATTTGGGGGAGAAAGATATTATGATTAATGAAATATAATGGATCTTATGCTTGCTATAGTAGAAAGAACATTTGGAACAGCAGCAAAGAGGCTTGAGTTCAAATGCCTGACCTGCCACTAATTAATTGTGTGACAGTGGAAAAGTCACTTAACCTTTCCTGTTTCATTTTTCTCATCTTTAAAATGGGGATAAGAATACTTTACTGGGCTCCAGCACTATTGTGTAGGATAGATGCCCACATGTAGGATTTTGTAGGGGTTGTCTAAATATATATAGGGTGTCCCAAAAATCTTAGCACAGTTTTAAGCTCTTAGAGCTTCTGATGAGGAAATTCCTATCAATGCAGATGTGTAACCATTGTACAACTTAATCTTAGGGAGTTACCCAGGACATCAGGAGGTCAAGTGAAGCTTAAAACTACAATAAGACTTTTAGGATACTCTGTATAGATGAGGCTTGAAGGTGGATGGATATGAGCTAAGGTATGGCATGTCTCTCTGGAGAGTAGGAAGAGAGCCAGGGATTAAGCTTGCCCTGCCAGCATACTACTTTGGGGAAGATCAGGTAAGTTTAGGGACAGTTGGGCAATCTCAACCCAGGCCCCAATAGTGGCATCAGACTAGAATTATATTTATGTTCCACCCTCAAATATCTCTGGTCTGAGGGTATGAAAGGCTCAGAATAAAAGTTACTTCTCTGATTGCTCTTAAAATGGAGGATGGCTTATACTCATCAAATACTAGTTATACAAAAGAC